ATTGAAAATAAAACATAAGCAATTCAAATGAAAAAATATCATACTAGACCTGCAAAATACTGCTACATTTCACATAAGCTCCAAACAGTACATATGATTATCATTTCATTAGTGTATTTCTATTCACTACCAGAGCAGATCTTAGTATTTCCTACAAAGGCAACTCCCTCACACTAATAACCATTTTAAGTAGTTACCCTTCAAGGTTCAGGGGAGGTTTAGATTAGGTATTAGAAAAATTACCCTTCACTGAAAGGGTAATTAAGCACAGGAATAGGCTGCCCAGGGAGGTGGTTGAGTCTCCATCTCTGGAGGTGTTTAAGAAATGTATAGACATGGTGCTTAGGAGAGTGGTTTAAGCACTGGGACTTGGTAAAGTTAGGTTATGATTGATTTCAATGATATTAAAGGTCTTTTCCAACCAGAACGATTCTGTATTTAAAGACATATGCAAAGAAAAGCTTGCTTTGCTCTACATCCCACCACGTATCTGACTGCTACAGATTCATCTTGTCTATTTTCTCTACAGGCTGGAACATTTATTTCTGTTCCAGAGATACTGCTCTCTTCCAATTCACTTTTTGAAATATTTATCTTAGTTATTAAACATTCCTAATTACAGCACATGACATGTGAGTTGACATAATTTTAGGGGAACTCTGCCAGATATAGAGGAGTTAAATATCCTTTGAGAACCAGAAAAATTACAAAACAAAGTCACTGTAGTAAAATTCACATAAATAACTGGAAATCTCTAATTGACACTTTAATTACAACTAAAAAAAACTTGCTCATTGGATTGACGGCAATATATGTTAGTGCAAGATCAAAAAGAGATCCAGGTAAGCATGAACAAATACACTCACAAGATAGTGCTTTTTTCAGAAGCCAGTCCATCCTTATAAGAAAAAGGAAACATCACTGTAACCCTGAATTATGGTATACTGAAGCTCAGAGTAAAGCATAGGTTTAACTTACTTTTTCTGGATACTGGTGTGGTCCATAAACATTGCTGCTCCGTGTAATAACAACTGGAAACTTAAAAGTATTAAAGGTGCATGTGATTACGTAAGAAAATATATACCAATAAAAATCTGTAGGCTTCTTGCTGATCAATAAACTGACACACCCACAATGCTTATTCAAAAAATCTGCAAGCCCTTACAAACACTAGCAAATTAATCTATCTATACTTTGTCAAACAGGCAAGGGCCTCCAGCCTTCTGTTAGAAGCACAAGTGACAAATGTTTGTCATCTCTCACTCTTGCTAGGGCACAGGGTTTGAGAGGATGGTGACACCACCAAGGAACATTATATACGTGCATCTGGCTGGCTGAAGACCAGCCTAGTACTTCCCATTCCAATAAAATGTTCCACAGTCATTAACATATTCTTCTATTCAGGTTTATGTCAAAAACAATGTTGCAAAAGAATACATATAGAACAAAAGACTTAAAATACTCAAAACTTTAAATACTTTTGCGTAAACAAATCTGAGTAATAGGGTTTTTACTTTTTTGTGCTTTCACTATAAGCCTAGCCTTACACAATTTGAATTTTGCATATTCTACTTCTGTAGAGATTTCCTTCAAACTTAACATTGTTTCTTAAATTGCCAGTGTTCTCTTTGATCTTTTTATCAAAGAACATTTTTAGACATTACAAATCAGATTTTCCATAAAGTTTTAAAACCATTTGACCTCTCCCCAGTTCCTTGCAGTGTACCTCCACCAATAAGTGGTTAACATTCTCTTACACATCCAAACTACAAGACTAGCCATCAGGTGGCACTGTGTGAAATAGCATATATTTATATATATATATATACACACACACACACACATATCCTCTTATATACATAATACAGACATTTAAGCACAGGCTTCAGAGATTTTGAAGCTTATATCAACTTACTTGGTACCTTTCCCAGTAAGACTGAACAAAGCACTCTGCAGCTGCTTTAGAGGAAGCGTAAGGATTTGTTGGACGTTTTGGTGAGGATTCATCAAATTCCTGAAATGATAAACTTGCATTACTCAATTTCATTTTCACAGATCAGTCTTAAAGTTACGAAAGCTGCAGCTGCAAGGGAAATTAAAATCCCTAACTATCCAAGCACAACCATCTGATAAAGTCACCCTTCCACTTACAGTAAAGACCAAAAACAAAACCAAAAGACAGTCCATTTATCAAAGTTGGAGGTGCCTAGAATACTAATAGCAATATTTTTATACTTCTAGTAGAGTACTTCACAGTAGTGGGCCCTTATGATTTTTTATCTTGTAAAATAATCACTGTTGCCACAAAGAGGTTCAATCCATCTCAGGCTCATACTGCCTCACTGTGCCACTGCACCACCACTTGCAAATCCACCTTTCCATCCTAAATAAAAGGGGTCTGCTCTCCCTTTTCTATAAAATTAACTTCTATCAGAAAAGCAGAATTTCAACCCAAAGCCCTCCAAAACAAGGTGTCAACAATTCTGACCTGTTCCAGAATAATTAGGTACACCGCTACCCTGCCACTTCTATTTCTTGCTTGGATGGAAAAAAAAAAATTACAAATTAAAAAAAAAACACTAATAAACCCAGACACAATAATGAACCAAAGAAATGAGGGATTCTATACTGCCTGAGGTGCAGTTCATAACCATCATCTTAACATACGATTAAAAGACTCACTGTTCTTGTCTGACCTTTGCCTCTGAAATTTATTGACCCTGATTTACTTACTGACCTTCCTCCCTCCCAAGTAACAGTCAAGAATGTCTATGATGATTCATTAAGAGAATAAAAAGCAGATTAAACCAAAGTGTTCTTTGCAAGGCCCAGAGGCAAAAAAAAAAAAAAAAAAAAAAAAAAAATCACTTGAAGTTGTATCAGCCAAATCAATGATCTAAATGCAGGAAAACAAGATGCTTTGCTATCATAAAAGCCTATAGATTGCAGTTGTGTTGAAGCAAATGATATAAAGACATGGCAACAATAAAGAAGCACACATGAATTTCTGAATTATATTAATATTTTCATGGACTGTGGCACAAGACTCCATGGCCATTACTTACACCTTCAGAAAGACAAGCATGCATAATTTGTCATGTTACTGAGTTAAATTACATTTCCTGAGATAAAGTCAGGCATAAATTCGCAAGGATAAATAATATATCCACAGAACAACAAAAAATATCTGCATATTTCTTCCAGTAATACAGGAACTGTTTCCTGTTTGAACTGTCAGTACCTACAGTTGTTTGTATTTTAGCTACAGAACCAGTTCCCTGCCTGTCAAATTCATAACCAAGGCAGAGCAGCAAAAAAAGAAAAAAGATAACATAGTGTGTGCATTACTGAAGTCTCATAAATGCTCCAAGGCAAAATTTGTGTAATATATTCCTTTAATACTATTTCCGAGGAGTATTTGCATGTCATTAATGTCCTCAATCTCACTGCTTTACGTAATACACATTTAGTTAAAAACAAGCTACACAAATAATTTAGGACCATTTTGAGACTTCACTTTTCTAGAAGTAACCTGTGCTTCTTTACAAGTTCCTGTATTGTTTGAAATAGCTCAAAAAAACCCACACATTTGCAGAGAGCAAGAAAACACAGAATGGCTTGTGTTGGAAGACACCTTAAGAATCATCTACTTCCAACCATCTTGCCATGGGCAGGGACACCTCCCACTAGACCACATTGCTCAGAGCTCCATCCAACCTGGCCTTGAACACTTCCAGAGAGGGGGCAGCAACAACCTCCCCGGGCAGCCTGTTCCAGCATCTCACCACACCTAGCGTGAAGAATTTCTTCATAATATCTGAGCCAAATTTACCCTCTTTCAGCTTGAAACGGTTTCCTTCTGTCCTCTCACTCCAAGCCCTTGTAAGAAGTCCCTCCCCAGCTTTCCTGTAGGCCCCTTCAGATACTGGAAGGCTACTATGAAGTCTCCCCAAAGCCTAGGCAAGGCTAAATGACCCCAACTCTCTCAGCCTGTCTTCATAGGAGAGGTGCTCCATCTTCACAGCCCTCCTCTGCTCCCATGTCCTTGTTATGTTGACAAAAACTGGACACAGTACTCCAGGTGGGGTCTTACAAAAGCAGAGCAAAGGGGGAGAATCACCTTCCATGACCTGCTGGCCACTCTTCTTCTGACAGAGCCTAGAACACAGTTGGCTTACTGAGCTGCAAGCACACATTACTGGCTCACGTTGAGCTTCTCATTCACTGTCACCCCCAAGCCCTTCTCCTGAGAGCTGCTCTCAATGCAGGACTTGGTACTTGGACAAGTTAGACTAATTTTGTTTTCACTACTAAAGGCAAGCAAAACTAGGAAAAACCTTCATGGACTTTCAAACTCACCTTATCAGTGCTGCCTCCATATACTTCATCTGTACTGACATAGACAAACTTCTCCACATTGGCTTCATGCGCAGCAGCAACCAGCACATTAGTGCCATAAACATTCACATAGGTGAACTCCAGAGCATGCCAAAATGAAAGATCTACATAAAAAATTCCAAACAATTCTGATTAAACTTAAGCAAGACATAGCTTCCTATTGCATTATATTAGAGGCTGCAATTCTCTCTCTCTTTCTACAATCCAGGAAGAATTATGAAAGGAGCTACGCCTATTCCTTCAGTTTCCACACTGTTTCTTCCTGTAAGGTTGGAACCAACCAAATAAAAACTTAAGACTATGTACCAGCTCTTTTTCTACTGTCTTCATAACTCCAGCAGTACACTGTCAGTTATGTTTGTGTCCAGATGGAATTTAAAACGTAATGCAAAAATAATTACCATTTATTTACAATTAAAATACATAACAGTCAGATGAAGTTCTGTTAAAATTAATGCTATGAACCCCTTTAAGTTACGATGGCCACCAGACACTATGTCTCTACAAATATGATTCAATGTACCCTTGTTTTATATGAAAAGACAAAAGAAAAAAATCAGCATGTATTTCAAACAAATATACTCATGAAAAATACCACCAAAACATGAAACAATGCTCACCTACATGTGTTTGGGCTGCAAAATGAAGTACTATATCTATCTTCTCAGTTTCAAAGAGCTGTTTTATAAAATTAGGTTCACAAATATCTCCCTAAACAGGAAAAAAAATCATTAACAAATTATTTTTCATAGAAAATAATAGGCTTTCATTTGTACTAAGCATTGTATAACAAACTTATTACAACAGAAGCACAGGATACAAATAACAGTACCAATTGAGTTTTTGGGCAATTTTTCAATGCTATGTCAAAATAAGAATAATAATAATAAGACACATTTTGAGCAACAGCCTCAACGAAACTTATTTCAGGATTTATGTTACTATGTAACAGCACCGCCCCCCAAATACACACAACGTAAGTACAGTATGTAGCTTGAATGCTGAGGTTGAAACAACGTTTTCACGGTAACTACGAGTTACTGGAGTCTGGCTAAGGGACAGTGACACCTAGTGGCATCATACAAGGTGAACTGGATTTCCACTTCTGTCAAAACAGACACTGGGGTACCTTGCAAGAGTTTGAGTGGTGGTGGGATTTTTTTGTTGTTCTGGCGATTTTTTTTTTAATTGATATATTTAGAAGAGATTCAGGCATCAACACCCAAGCCATTCTTTAGTTTGACACAACAACAGCTTTTAAAGGTAAATACAATACTTTTCTGTTGGCTCAGTTTAAACAAAGTAGTACATGAGAGTACTTCCATGTCTTGGGAAGGAATCTCTGTAACAAGATAATTAACTAAAAATAGTTCCAATTTCCCTATGTTTTAAGAAGTTCTCAAATTCTGAAGAACAGCCTCAAAGTACTGTATATCAGAAACAGGAGAAGGTGAACTGATTTTTCTGAAATAAAATTATGTCTCTCATCCCTGAACAGAACTGAAACACTCAGCAAAAATAATCTACGAGCCTTAAGTATTTAACTAAATGGTTACAGCTTTTTTTTTCTTTTAACTGAAATTCAAACTCAATAGATCTGTGCTAAGCATCAACAGAGACTGTGATTAAACTGCATCATTTATACAGTCTGTTACCCAAGTTTTCTGAACTTTTACTTCTCTATTTTCCTACAGCATTTATCCTTCCTACTCTCTCCTAGGTCAGCAACAGTGTTACAGTTCTAACCTTAGGCTTATGCACCAGAAAGTATTTTTTCCAGTGCATTTTTTTGCTATCCATGTAAACTGCTTAGCTGCACACCAGCTGCATGTCAGTTCTGATCAACCTTCATAAGAAAAAATAAAACAAACAAAAAAACCCACAGAAAAAAACAAACCAGATAAAACAAACAGAAGCCTAAGAACCTTTTTTCCCCCTTATGCAAGTTTTATCCCAACAGCTCAGAGATAATCACTTGTTGAAATAGAGAGGCAGGTTCACAAAAATGTAAACAGCCATGGGGGTCACCAAATAGGTGAGGACAAGTTCAATTCCCAACCTTGCCTATTTAACTTGCATCTACTACCTCTAGTAAACCTGCCCCAAAGTTTCTATTGCAGAAAATTCAACCATATGCATTTATTTTATGTCCTGCAACCCTGAAAAGCCCAGCTGGGCAGCAAGACCAGCATCAGTTCTGACTTTCTCAGCAGCCAAGAACCTCAGCATACAAACCCAGCACTCAGAAGGTTTATCTGAACAATAAAACAAAATCCATCTCCTGTCTGCAGACAAAACTGTGGGAGCGGTGAACTAATAATTTCAGTGGCGAAATGTTAAGGAGAAAAGGCATACCCTGAATATTCCCACAAGACGCCCTCCCAAAACAACTATCAACAACATCGGCAAAAGTAGGAATGCAACCTGATGTCTAGTGCTAACAGAACAAGACAGATTTGTGTTGTACATCATGGAATATGGCACATGGTAGCGTCTGAAGGTGTAAAAGGTAAGATGACATCAGAGGAGCCATGGAACCTGAATTTTAGTCCATCTTGCTCATACCACCATAAACCAAAACTTTGAAAATCAGCCCTAAAACCACTTAGTTCCATACTCAGGCTCTTACCAATTCTGTACCTTTATTACACAATAAAATATAACAACTTTCAAAAGGCTACTTCATGGAAGAGGCAGAACATACTGTCACAATACTGCACATTGTCACATCTGCAGGCAAAATATGAAGAAGGTAAACAAAGAAAATGCTGTTATGTCCATCTGATTGTCACATACATTGGCATATTACATACACTGACTTATTATTGACAATGAGTTAACAGAATTTAAACTTTACCATAAATAAAAGCAGTGGCTTCTAGTTTGGGGTGCTCTGGAGACCATATTACTTTGATATGAAGGCATAAAAATCAGTAAAAAGTCAAGTTTCCTAGAAGGCTTTATCACCTGGATAAACTTGTAGTTTTTCTTCTCAGAGACTGTCTCAAGGTTCTTCAGGCTTGCACAGTAGTTGAGCTAAAGCAAAATACCCAGATAATATCATTAAGTGGACTTCATGAAAGTAAATAAGCTAACTCAGATCCAACCTATCACTAATAAGTTTGAGATCAGAGTAAAAACTTCTTTCAAAAGAAAAGCTATTTTGCAAGCAGACACAGTAAAGCTTAAAAACACAAAATTCTGAAGGACAGGGAAACTGGAAAAATTCTTAAACAGAAGTTTAGAACTTTAAAAGCTTCCTTCATTTTATTTGCAAATAACTATTTGTTGTGGGCACATGAACGGTAGCTGATTTTTGCTGTTAGGTTTTTTTTTGCACAGGAGCAAACAGATAATTAAACAAAAAAATAAACAACAATAACCCATATAAATATCAAAATGCTATAGATTGCATTAAAATAATTTTAAACTGGCTTTCATATAAAATAATCAAACCAGCTACTTACCTTATCTAGATTTATAATCAGATAGTTTGGATAGTTTTTCACGAGGGAGACGACTACATGTGAAGCACTGCAGGGTAGACAAAAAACATTTTACAGTTGTATAATTAGCTTTAAAGTAACAAGAGATGACAAATTACAAATAAATTTAGCAATATCAAAAGGCTTTAGGAGAAGAGATAACTGTACTCAAGATAGGCGGAAAAGGAATTCAGACACATTTTAAGATAGGTCAACATGGTTCTATTGATAATGCCTACAACTGCATCTTGTCATGAAACTAAAAGATTAAAACTTCATGCTATAATAAAAGAAAGCAGCACTGCTCGCAGCCACCTAAAAAAAAACCACAAAACCAAACCTAAATTGTCCTATGCTACGTTTAATTGCCACTCTAAAATACTTCTATATTCTTAAGTATTATACATTATGTAATAGGGAGAACTAAACAGTCAACAGTCCTGATACTGACAACACTGATTCTCACCACTGCACTGATACTGCTGCCAGGTGGAAGAAGTGACGGCCTGGCTACCGGGTGGCACTTCCCTTTGGCACAGCCCTGTGTACAAGAAAACCAGGCTGAGAGTTGGGGTTCACACCTCCAGCCCCCCCAGGCTGGAGGGTGCTCACAGACACTTGGTCCTCTCACCGCTTTGGATTCTGAGCGGCGCGTTGACGGGCTCAAGCTTAAGAGGGACCTGAACTTCCCCTGCCTGCAGCAGGGC